AAAAAAAAAAAAAAAAAGGTGACAGAAGCTGAGTACCAGTGGTTCATTTCTATAATCCTAGCTCCTCAGGAGGCTGAGATCAGAGGATTAAAGTTTGAAGCCACCCAGGCAGGAATGTCCATGAAACTCTTATCTCCAATTAACCACTAAAAAGCCAGAAGTGGAGCTATGGTCTAGAAGGTAGAGTATCAGCCTTGAACAAAAAACTCAGGAGGAGCCAGGCACTGGTTGCTCACACCTGTAATCCTAGCTACTCAGGAGGCTGAGATCTGTAGCTCAAGTGATAGAGCTCTCACCTTGAGCTGAAGAGCTGAGGGACAGCGTCCAGGCCCAGAGTTCAAGCCCCACGACCGACCAAAAAAAAAACTCATGGGGAGCCAGGTACCGGTGGCTCACATCTATAATCCTAGATTCTCAGGAGGCTGAGATCTGAGGATCAAAGTTTAAAGCCAACCCAGGCAGGAAAGTCTGTGAGACTCATATCACCAATAAACCACTAGAAAACTGGAAGTGGCACTGTGGCTCAAGTGGTAGAATGCTAGCCTTGAACTGAAGAGCTGAGGAACAGTGCCCAGGTTCAGAGTTCAAGCCCCACAACTGGACCCAAAAAAAAAAAAAAACCCTCAGGGAGCTATGAATGTGGATTATTGGTAGAGTGCTTGCCTATCATGCATTAAGCCCTGGGTTTGATTCCTCAGTAACACAAACACAGAAAAAGCCAGAAGTGGCTCTGTGGCTCAAGTGGAAGCCTTGAGCAAAAGAAGCTCAGGGACAGTGTCCAGGCTGAGTTTAAAAAAAAAAGCTCAGGGACAGTGCTGAGATCTTGGGTTCAAGCCCCAAGATCCATGCCACCCCCAACCCTCTCCCCAAACACACACACAAAGTGAACCAGCAATGTAGTTTAGTGGTGGTATAAGCTCCAAAAAACAAAAAATAAAATAAAAATGCGCATGTATGTGTGTATATAAATACACCCATAGGCTACGGATGTATATGATGGTAGTGGTGGCAAATGATGGCAAAGTTAGATAGGCTATTTGTCAAAATTTCTTTAAATGTCTTAGTTTGCCCCTTGCATATAAATTATGGTAAAGTCTTTGGGCTCACCTCTGCTGGAGAAGTGAGAGGCCTGTGGAGACCTTGGAAGAGGAAGACAAAGTTGCCTTTCCTGGGGAACTCCTGGATCAGGGCTTACATCCTGGCAACCACTGCCACAGTGGTGTGGGGAAGGCTGCATATGTGCTCCTCCACACCAATTTCATTCCTCCCCATTCCATATTGTGCAGAGTGGGAAGAGGGGGAAGGTTACTCCCAGTGCCATGAATAATTCTACTAATCCACATAATTTTACTACATCCATGCGGGAAAACCACCAGAAGAGAGTAAAGGCAAAAGTACAAATCTCACTAACATTACTTAAATTACCACTACCTACCTCTCCATTGCTGGGGTTGATCCCATACTTCGTAAGCCATGGAAAAATATTCCTGATGAAAAAAGAGAACAGACTATGTTCCCTGGGCATTAAGACTTGCCTGATAACCACACCCTAAGACTAGGTTTTACTTGCTTCTAGGTAAGAGGTCTATGAGTAAGTTGGGTCTTCTTGTAAGAGGAAAAAGTTCTTTTCCCTTATCAAAGAAAGCAAGGCAATACTCATAGTTATACAGTTTCTAAATATGTCAGGAACTGTTTTGTTGGGGGTAAGCTATATTCCAAGGCCATTAGCACTTTGACTGAATTATGCATAAATGGCAAAAACTATAGATGGGTAAGAAAGCATAAACAAGTGTTTTCATGTGTATACAATGAAATACCCTGCCAGAATGAAACATACGTGTAGCCAAGCACAATAGAGTGCAGCTCCTCGGATCCTAGTGCTCCCCTACCCACACTCACTCATTTCCGAAAATCAAGCATGATGACTGTTTAAGCTCAGCAGTTTGAGGGTAACTAGTCAACATAGCAAGATCTCGTCTTTTTTTTCTTTTCTTTTTTCTGTTTTTTTTGGAAGAGAGATGATAGTTGTACAGAGTTCTGATGTCAGAGAGAAAAGCTCTCTCTTCATAAGTGAGCTAAGCTGGGCACCAGTGGCTCACACCTGTAATCCTACTCAGGAGGCTAAGATCTGAGGATTGTGGTTCAAAGTTAGCCAGGGCAGGAAAGTACGTGATACTGCTCCAATTAATCACAGAAAAAGCCTGACATGGTACTGTAGCTCAAGTGGTGAAGGGTTGGCTTTAAGCAAAAGGAGCTTAGGGACAGCACCCAGGCCCAGAGTTCAAGGCTCAGGGCCAGCAAAAAAAAAAAAAAGTTAGCTAAAATGGTGTTTACAGTGTTATCTCAGATATGGAACTACAAATAAATTCACAACAAAGAGGGAGATAAATCTTCATAGCTATGATGCTGAAGAATGAAATTATGGGACATTTTTCCATTTTTTTCTTTGAAGTATTTTGCAAATTTTCTAAAGTAAGCTTGAAACAATAACAAACAAAATTACAGAGCTGGGCACTGGTAGCTCATGCCTATAATCCTAGCTACTCAGGAGTCTGAGATCTGAGGATCGCAGTTCAAAGCCAGCCTGGACAGGAATGTCTGTGAGACTCTGATCTCCAATTAACCACAAGAAAACCAGAAGTGGCACTGTGTGGCTCAAGTGGTAGAGTGTTTCCCTTGAGCTGAAGAGCTCAGGAACAGTATCCAGGCCCAGAGTTCAAGCCCCACGACCGACCAAAAAAAAAAAAATTACAGAAGCTAACTTATGCTGGAACATAAAATTGGGCATAACACTTCAAGATGTATTGTGATCCTTCATTATGGCTTTGCTAAAGACCCCAGTTCATTAGTGTGCCTATTAGGTTCAGAGTGCCAGTCAGGACATTAGAATAGTAAGGATAAAGGAGGACTCAATCCACTGTCAGCAGTGACAGCAGCACTGCGGTGGTATCTGAGGTCCTGGCTATCCTTCCTGGTTCCATCCAGAGCTCCGGAGACATCTGCAACCAAGATTCTGGTGACTTAGGCACTGCCTGGAATAACAAACCCAATGTCCCCCTCCTTTGTGGATAAGAGCAATCTCATTACATTTGTCAGACCAAAAAGAAAAACTCACGGCAAGTCAAAGATGACACCTTCTGGAGTGCAGACTGGGTGGGTGAAGGGCTGCAGAGAGAGACTGAAAAGGACAAAGTTACTCCTAGGCAGCAACCAGGCAGACTGGTCATGCCATGGGCCAGTAAGCCACCATGACTGGCTCTCACAACCTTTTCCTCTGGCTTCCCTCCTTCAGCCATTCCTCCAATAGTTCCAGGGGTCCCTCTGCATAGCTTTTGCTGGCAACCATCTCAATGTTCCCTCTCACCCCCAGATCATTAAGACCAAAGGCATGGTCCCAGAAGATAATGTGGAGCCTTAGAGCAACAACAACAGCCAGGTTCCTCTCACACCACTGTGCAGCATATGAGCTTTACTCATCATGTCAAGTTCAACAGAGGCCTGTGAAGGTGGACCTGGGAAAGCAGGACTGGGATTTACTTTCCAAATCACACAGCAGATAAGACTAGCCTTTTATATTAAAAGAAGCTCTACCCATCCTGCGAGGGACTAAGGATGGATATTGTGATCTGGAATACTCTGCCTGGCCCTGATAAGACAGAGTGCACACACCATCCTCCATACTTTCCCCATGTGCTGAATACATAATTGAGTTAAGATAGTGTCCCTGGAAGCCCCTCAGAAGTTCTAAAACATGGATGTGGGAGTAGAGGGTTGCACAGCTATTTCCTCTATATGGAATCTGTAGAGGAAAGGTAGAGTCACAGGTGAAGAGATTGCAGCTGACAAACTGCTTGTGCCAGTATTATTCTTGCACAGGGTTCTGTCACTAACCATCTGGAACCTTGGCTGATATGGCTTCTGCTTATACATCAATTACCTATGAGTTCTGTAACACACCTATAACCCAGATAATCTGAAAGTACTATGGATCCAACCAAATTCCAACCAGGCCCAGCACAGTGACCTTTCTGAATGTTGCCCAGGAGTTGCTTCAGGCAACATAGCCACCTCTGTCTCTTTAGTTCAACCTTTTAACTCTAACTGTAGTAGTGGCATTGATGCTGCTGGCAAATGGTTAGAAGAGGACCAATACCAAAGCAGGCTCTAAATGCTATGATGATGAACAGATATCTGCTCCCAACATGACCCAACAAGCCATACTCTCAAAGCACATTTTTACTTATGACCCACAACAGTTAAAAAAAAGAATGAAACTGGGTGCTGGTGGCTCACACCTATAATTCTAGTCACTCAGAAGACTGAGATCTGAGGATGGCAGTTCAAAGCCAGGCTAGGCAGGAAAGTCTATGAGATTCTTATCTCCAATTAAACACCAAAAAAAAAAATCTCTGGGTGGGGGCGGATAGAGAATTGGAATCAAGAATGAAAGCATAAGCCGGCGCAGGTGGCGTGGGTGGTTCACGCCTGTAATCCTAGCTACTCAGGAGGCTGAGAGCTCAGGATCACGGTTCAAAGCCAGCCCAGGCAGGAAAGTCCATGAGACTTTTATCTCCAATAAACCACTAGAAAACTGTTAGTGGCTCTGTGGCTCAAGCGGTAGAGCACTCGCCTTGAGCTGAAGAGCTTAGGGACAGTGCTAAGGCACACAGTTCAAGCCCCACGATCGACCAAAAAAAAAAAAAAGAATGGGAGCATTTCTATCACATGAACTTATATCCAATCTGAAAAACAGCACATTCCCTTGAGTCTGATGACAAAAACTTTATTTGTATATCCCCCCTTGAGTGGGTGCTGCTGAGAAGGAAAGGTCCACACCCCACTAGTCACTGTATGAGCCTCCCTGGAAATAAGTGCAGGGATGCTGGTGGTTGGGGTCCCTATCTCACTGCATTGTGGCATCTAGATAACCTGACTCAACTGTGGTATAATACTCAGCTGTGTCAGCCTAGCCTTTAGAATCAGAACCTGGGAAGGAGGAAGATGGAATGTAGACAACTGTGTGCAGAGGAAATACCACCATGGCTTAATCTGGTAACACTCAGGCCCTAGGACACCACTAGGACCTGTCTAGGAGGACAGTGTGGGTGGTGGGTAAATTTGAGGTCTGTGACACCAATTTCCCAATGAGACAACTACGTAAAGCACATCACTACTCTAAGCACTAATTCTATCAACTAAGAAACAAGTTTAACAATCTCAGAAGACAGCTGAAGCTAAAAAGCAAAGCTTGCCGGGCACCAGTGGCTCATGCCTGTAATCCTAGCTACTCAGGAGGCTGAGATCTGAGGACCGAGGTCCAAAGTCAGCCCAGACAGGAAAGGCCATGAGACTCTTATCTCCAATTAACCACCAGAAAACCGAAAGTGGCACTGTGGCTCAAGTGGTAGAGTGCTAGCTTTGAGCTGAAGAGCCGAGGGACAGTGCCCAGGCCCAGAAATCAAGCCCCATGACTAACCAA